CCTTCCTCTCCACCGCCATTCCTCCCCCTTGCACCTCCCCCCCCTCCCCTCCCCCATCTCCCAGGGGCCCGCGCGGGTGGATCCATGTGCGTTTCGCAACCGTTGCTGGTCGCTCTAGGTGCCCGATGCCGTTTGGCCCAGGCATTTTGCCATGAGGCGATGCATCAAGAGGCGGCTAGAGCCCGACACACCGCCAGATTCCGACTCCAGCGAACGCGATGAGATAGATGAATTAGGCCGCCCGACATATGCAGCGTTATCGTCGATACTATTGAAAGATTGGGCATGGGGAAAATTGTTTGGCACGGACCTCCAAAAATATGCACGCGCGGCCCACAGGGACGGGGCCAGGGATCCTGAATTGGCTAGCATTGCGGCCATGGGCTCGCGGGGCTCGGCCCCGCAAAACATTCATCAGCAACTCACGACCAAATATCTGCGAGGGAACACGCTCCCCGAGCCCGAGACGTTCGATGTTCATTGTAAAGAGCCCAGGACTAAAAAGATAGTGAAGGCCGAATGTAGCATGTTGCTTCCCCACGAGATGTTTGCATCTATGTTCCACTCCCATCGTGAAGTATTTAATGCGATCTACGGTGTAGGCCACTTGCCGAAATTCTGGGAAGGGGCATCTAAAGACGACCCGCGTTTGAAGAATCATCCAATATGGCACCTCAGCAATAACACCCGTGCCCACGCGATCCCCCATTCGTATACATGGCGACGGTGCAGAGATGCAGACGAACGATTCTCTCATGTGCATTTCGTGGACGAGTTTGCTCGCTGTGGGGTCGACTCGTTCGTTGAACATGTTTGTGACAGGGTGGCCATATTCAATACAGGCCAAACAAACACATGACGACAAGGATACATGGCTTGAAATTTGGGACGTCATAGCCTGGTCGCTTAATTCTCTCGCAAGTGGGAAATACCCAACTACAGATTCACTGGCTTCGCCATGCCGCGCGCCCCTGGTCGGACGAGCGTCGCGGATATCAACGCCGCCGACCGAATGAGGAATGAGCAGGCGTTGCGAGGGAGGGGGCGGGGGGAGGGCGATAGAAGCGACGGGCGGTGGAGGGGGGCCATGGAAGGCGAGACACGGCGAGACAGCGCGACAACTCTCACAGCTCGGTGTCGACTCTGGTCGCGGCGGCGGATTGGAAGAACAGGCCTTTCGCAGAGGGTTCGCGCCATGCCGAGAGAGCTGGCCACTATTTGTGTTCAGCTGCGCTGCCATACAGAGGATTTATTTACGGCGTCCTAGGCTGTGGTTGCAATGAATACGCCACGTTGGTCCCCGTCTAAAATCGATTCTGCGGCAAGGTTTGGGTTGCAGATTTTCTGTTCAATGTGCGGTTCTGGTGCAGCATTCCTCGGGTTCGGGGTCGAAGTGTATGTTTTGTTTGTGTATGTCTGCGGAAGTGGCTATCGTTGCGACCAGTCGCCCCAGGGGACATGGAATTCTTTAGCTCGCACCTGGGGACGCCGTGGCCGAACGAATCGCAGATGTGCTGGCTCTGCGAAGCGAACAGAGATACGCTGCCATTTAACAATTTTATCAAAGAGCAATTCCCTCGGCACTGGATGCGATTTCGACGGCGGGTGCCATATGTTTTTACACATCATGTGTTCCGTGTGTGGGGCGTCACTGGCGAATCAATTTGTTTGGATTCAATGCACACGGTGGATCAAGGAACGTGTTCGCATATATTAGGGAATATCCTGAAAGAGATCTTATATGAACAACGGGACGAATCACCTGCAGAGGCGTGCGCTGTGATCTGGAGACATATTCGAAAGATTTACGACGAACGGAACATTCCCCACAGGATCACTTACCCCTGCAGACGCGCGCCCGACAGACCCCTGGGCGAGGGGGGAGAGGGTGAGGAGGGCGGAGGGGAAGGGAAAAGGGTGGAAATGTATGAGGCACCCAGGAAAAGGGTGAGAGGATAGGTAAAAGGAGGCGGTCAACTCAAGGATGGGGAAGGGGATGGAAAAATGGGCGGGGAAAAGGGAAGACAACAAGAAAAGGAACGCTGATGATGGGGGAGAAGGGAGCACGGAACGGGGAAGAAGAAACGCCGCGTGCCCGACAGCTAGGGTGCCCCTGGCGGGCAGACATTTTGGGTTGGGCAGTTTCATTGCGAATCTGAAAAGTCCACATAGCCAGTACCCCGTTTTAAAGAAAGCAATCAAAGCAGCGCAACAGCGCTGGCTGGCTCCCGTGATATGTCAACTGAGCAAGGATTATGAAGACGGTTCTGATCTTAGAAGAATGCGAACCCTTTGTTGCGAATCGTTATGCACATACTACGATTGCTTAGATTCATCTGGAATGTTTTTGGACGCGGCCGTTGCACAAAAGTTGCAAGATGCCGTCGAAACATCGCCCATCATGTATCATGCCCTCGCGTCGCATTCGATGACAGATGAACATAGGAAAAAATGGTCCATAGTTAACAAACACCACATGTGGTGGCACATTGCAGAAGCCGCCACGTATTTGAACCCGAGGTGGCTTTGGTGCTACATGGCAGAAGATTTCATGCGACACGTAGTAAAAATAGCAGGGACGGTGCAAATTGGCTCTTCGCCCTTGCAGTGCAGCCGCAAACTGTGCCAACGCTGGAGGATTGGAAGGTAGATCAGTGGCTCCGCCAGTTGCCGCCGCGGCACTCGGGTGGGGAACAAGTCAGCAGGGCGATGGGGCGGGAGCGGGGAGTGGGGTGGGGGGGGGTAGGAACAGGGCGCGCGAGGGGGGGGGGTCAAGGGCGGGGACGGGGAGCGACGGCAGAAGGAACGGGATGGCGGAGAGAGGGTGAGGTTGGAGGAGATGCCGAAAGCGAAGAGGATACCGAAAACGAGAAAGATTAGATTTTGCAAACCTGTCCCTCCGCTCGCGGGGGGGATGGACTTCGAGATTTCACGCCCTTCTTTCTAGGTGTTCTGTGGGAGTGCCCACGCAGGTGAATGTTTAACGTTCGGGGCAGAGACCCGAACCTCGTGGAGAGAAGACTGTCGGCCTCGCAATCTTATTGCCACCACCCACCTCCCACGCCTACTTCCGCCCCCGCCGACCCCGCCATGGCCTTCCCTGGCCGAGGGGAGCCCTCGCATGTTTCGTGCCCCTCAGGAAGATGCGCGCATTATGGTTGTCCCGAAACATAAGAAACACGGAAACATGCGCAAGAGAAAATTCATGACAACAAGTGGAAACTACATTTAAGACACATACGACACACGCAATGCAAGCGCAAACATATCAACCCTACAAACGCAATGCAAAAATAAGACACACGTAAAAACACACACCCAACAAACGTAAGACAAACGTGTGTCTTACGTTTGCCTTACGTTTGTCTTACGTTTGTCTTACGGTTATCGTTGCATTTAGTTGCTACCCATTTTTCGCTACCCATTTTTGCGGGGCAAACACTAGCGCGCGCGATTGTTGATCGCTACCCATTTTGCGTTTCCCGCATCATGATTGCGCTACCCATATTGACGCATGATAAAACCGGTCGCGCTACCCATTTTGCTCTCGTTCCGGTCCGCTACCCATTCTCACGCGCGCATCAATCCGCTACCCAAAAAGATCGGTCGCGCAGCATCTGGGCACGGCCCCAACCACTGCCCGACTATCCCCACTGTCCCCACTGTCCCACTGACTCCTCCGCTGTCCCACTGAGCTCTCCCACTGTTCCCACCACTGTCCCCACTGTCCCCACTGTACCTCTGTCCCATTGTCCCACCGCCGTCCTCGCCACCGCCTTCACCACTGTCCCCACCACCACTGTACCCTCCACCGTCCCACTGTTTCCACCTCATTCCACTGTCCCACACCGCTGTCCCCACCACCACCGTCCCCACCAATGTCCACTGTCCCCGCTATTCCCACCATTGTCCTCACCACTGTCCCCACCACTACCGTCCCCACCACTGTCCCACTGTCCCCACCACTGTCCCGCTGTCCCCTCACCACTGTCCCCACCACCACCGTCCCCACCACTGTCCGCACCCCCACTCGGTTTTCGAAGGGGGGCGGGGGGGGTTCGAACCCGTAGTGACCCCCCCCGGATTCCGGTTTTCGAGGGGAGGGGGGGGGGGTTCGAACCGGTAGTGACCCCCCCCCCCTTTTCATGATAAACTGGGGGGGGGAGGGGTTCGAACCGGTAGTGACCCCCCCCCCGGGTTTCCGGAGGGGGAGGGGGGGAGGGGTTCGAACCAGTAGTGACCCCCCCCGGTTTTCCGCCAGCAGAGGTAGAACACGCTCTTTCACACATGCATACATGCATGCATGCATGCATGCATGCACACAAACACAGACAGACAGACAGACAGGCAGGCAGGCAGACAGCCAGACAAGCAGACAGGCAGGCAGACACACACACACACACACACACGTACACACCTACACACTTGCGTACACATATACATATACACATACCTATACGTATACACTTACATATGCATTTACATATGCAAATACAAATGCATATGCACATGCAATTACATCTGCAATTCCAGCTATATACGCACACGTCCATATACACAGACATGCACAAATATGTAAATATGTATGTTAACATGATCAGATACACTTACAAAACAGGTACGCAGGCATATACATCGACATGCACCTATACATATAAAAACAAATATTCTCCTAGATCTATACAATGATAAACACGATGTTGCGACTGTTGCGCAACGTCGGATCTCTAGGCCCTGCTCCGCCTGCATTCATTATTTGGCCGTTCACGGAGGAGGGGCGCGAAAGAAGGAGGGCACCTAGAAAAGCGGCGAGGCTTCCAAGAAGGCGGGGATAAGTCTTGGAAGCCTCCCAGAAGTTCTAAAAAGCCTCCGTAGAGGCTTCCCAAGCCGCCCCCCACGCGCCAACCCCTTTGCGAGAACCGCCCCATCCTACTCTCGGACCCCCCATCCTGGTGCTCCTCCTTATCGTTCCTCTCCTCAAACTCCTCCTCCGCCTCTGCCGGGTCCCGTACAGAGCGTTGATGACGTTGAGGGGCACCGCGCACCGCTCCCCGTGCACTGTGGTCACCACCAAGTCGGCGGTGGTGTCCAGGACCCCGATGCCGATCCCCATGGCGAAGAAGACCGCGTAGAGGGAGGGCCCACAGGCCCCCCGCGCGGCGACGCACAGCTCACACGCGGCCTTGATCGCGAGGGCCCCCGACACGCAGCGGAAGACCTGCCCCGCGCGCAGCAGCCTCCCGATGGCCGAGCTGAAGATCACCGGGGCGGCCATGAGGCCGAGGCCTCTGGCGGCGATGAGGTTGTTCTGCGGGACGCCGCTGCGGGCGGAGATGGCGAGGCTGGTTTAGATGCTCGATCTGGGGAACTTCCTGGAGCCATGCATTTCACTCATGCGTCGACGCTGCGTCGAACGTCCGTCGACTCGAGTCAAACTTCAAAGTCGAGGTACAGATCCAGGAGGTGGGCCACGGGAGGGTCCCCCAAACGAGCATCTAAGCTGGTGGTGCCGATAACGCCAATGGTTATGCCGCGCAGGAAGATCGACACGTAGCAGGCGAAGTAGACGCCGGTCTTGTGGCCCATTCCTCTCACAATCCACCGAGCAGCCCGCGAGCAGGCGGCGGGGGGGGGGGCTTGACCAAAAAATGTCTTCGGGAGCGTGATGCAAGGGGCCAAACAACTCAATACACACGGCTTGCGGAGGTCCGTGCGGATCTCTTGTCGGCGGCGACGGTGGGGGCGAATAGCCCAGGGGGGAAGCAATCCATGCATACAGGGGCGCCGTTGGTCCATGCCTCCGGCGAGGCCCCCCAGAGGGATGCACGCAATGCCCGCCCAAGGGGCTCTTCGCACTTGTCGTCGCCGCCGATCTTGGCATCTTCCCCCGCGGGCGGGCGGAGCGCGCTGGCGGGGGCACGTGGGGACAAGAGTCCCAGGGCCAGCCGAGAAAATCAGGAGGAGGAGGGGGAGGAGGAGGAGGAGAGGGAGGAGGAGGAGGAGGAGGAGGAGGAGGAGGAGGAGGAGGAGGCGGAGGGGAGGAGGAGGAGGAGGAGGAGGAGGAGGAGAGGGAGGAGGAGGAGGAGGAGGAGGAGGAGGAGGAGGAGCGGGGTTCTGCGTGCGCCGTTGGTGGGCGATCAAGTGCAGCAGCCATGGCACGCCGCGTGGGGAAGCCATCCGCGTGCTAGCTGCTCGGGGAAGACCAGGTCGTCGGGCAAGCACGGTGGAGCAACACGCTGACGAGATCCGGAGGGTGGCGTGTCGTTGATACTCATTCTTTCCCTCCCGAGCTTAAAAAGGCGCGGGGAGGGGACGGGTGGAGGGGGGGGGCAGGGACGAGTGTGCGAGGGTCGACAAACGAATCGACTAAGACGACAACGATAACGACGACGACGACGACGACGACGACGACGACGACGACGAAGACGAAGGCCGCGGCGGCGGCCCATCGCCTCCCGAAGTCTCTGGAGATCCCCAGGGCGCCCCAGGAGACATCCAGAGGCCAGAGAGGGGGAGCCACCAAACAAACAACTATGCATGAAGGCCCCGATATGTGCAGCAAGTTTCGAGCGCGCTCCTCTCTGAGTGCCTGACCAGGTGAATATGGGCCTGAGCGAGGCTGAATATGAGTGCCTGAGTATGAGTGAGTATGCGCATGGGCGCCTGGACGTGAGAGGGCCTGAGGGCGATGAGGTCTGGGTATGAGCGGTCTGATATAAGCGAGTCTGCGTGTGATTGGGCCTGGGTGTGAACGAATAAGAATAGCAGCATGCCTGAACACGCGTGGGGAGATCCTGCAACTGGAACACATTGGAAATCTCCACGAGAAGAGACTCGTCTACCCGGCCGAAGCCGTAGGTCCTCACACCTGGGCACGAATGAGCCTGTTTTTATATCAAAACAACAACAAAACAACGACATAAAAGAACGAGTCGACGCCCCGCTGGAGTGGCCAAAGAGCAGCTGCGAGAGGGTTTGACCCCAGCGGGACGGGTGAGATCCCAGCGGGACGAGTGGCACCCAGACGGGTAAGACGCCTGGGACGGGTCAGACCCAAACGGGCGCCTCGAATCCTGACGGGATAATGCTTACAGTGTTGTGCTTCGCCCGCAAGCTAGATTGAAATCCTTCAGGAATCTGACGAATCAGTCGCCATGCATCGCTGGGGTCTGTCGAGTCCAACTCTCGCTGTTCTTGTTTGTCAACAAAGGCAGACACACCGTGTAGGCATCTACATCAGCGGGTACAGCAAGTTATTGCCAACGACATATATGACGATATTATAGATTCAAAATACTAGTCGATGTACACCAGCAAAGGCTGTGAAGGTGCAAGCGCTGCCATGGCCAACGTACGCTCAGCCACCTGCCAGAAACGTACGTAATTGCCAACTAGCAGGGGCAATGTCCTCGCCCTTCTCATCATCGTAGGGAGTGTGCTACAAGGAGGGAAGGAGGAGAGGGGGAATGCTGGAGGGAGGTCCCACTGCACGGCATCTGCTCTGGGCGGGCATCCTTACAATCACGGGCCAGCTTCTCCACGCACGCCCTGTGGCGACGAGGGACAAAGAGCACCCATGACCTTCTGTCGTGGCGAAAATACACGCGTTTGTCTTATGTCTCTCTCTCTCTCTCTCTCTATCTCTCTGGGTAACCACACTGCGAACGAATCACCAAATCACCACGTCGAAGAGGCCTGGGAAAGAGGAAGCCGAAGCCCTCCTCCTAAAGTCCACGCTGGAGGGCATCCTTGCAGGGACGCGCTGAGCAGCGCTGAGCAGCGCCAGCGAAAAGCAACCCCGGCACGGACAGTGTGCAGGCAGGCCCCGCTCAAGTCGGTGCCCCTGCGAGTTCCGCGGCGGTTTTGCTCGATTCGGTTTGCTCGAGCCGTGCACCGATTTGGCGGGTGGGCATGGCGGCGCAAAGGGGGGCGTTGTGGAGCGTCCGGGCCAGAGCACGCAGGCAGACGCACGCGTTCGGAAGACGAAAAGGGCGCGATCTTGGCGCACATTGCCTGCGGATGCGGCTCTTATCGCGTCATCCCCCCTCCCCCTCCTCCCCCCTCCTCCTCCTCCTCCTCCTCCTCCTCCTCCTCCTCCTCCTCCTCCTCCTCCTCCTCCTCCTCCTCCTCCATCTCCTCTGTAGAACTGCCTCTAAAGCTACTGCAGCTGCACTTCCCCGGGAGGCCGCACCGCGCAGCGCCGAAATTGCGCACTCGCCAGGACACGGCGACTGGACCGTCGATCTGCGATTGATAACTTGACAAATAAAACTACCAGGCAGGCGCAGTGCTTGCACTCGAGGCAGCTGCACCTGGTGCGGAGCACCACCAATTCGCTGCTCAAAACAACATCACGCTAGCAGCGTCTCGGGTGCTGGACCTTGTCCGCAGAGTCCGCATAAAGATTGCAATAGCAGCTGGTCTTCCCCAGCACCTGAGAGACAGCCCCAACATGCCTTTAAAATGGCGGGCCGCTCCTGGTGTCGGCAGTGTGGACACTTTTTTATCTAATTGCTGGGAAACCTGAGGGGGGGGCTCCACTTCAGACCCGTGAGGAGGAAGGAGAGGATGAGAGGGAGGAGACGGAGGAGGAGGAGGACGTCAGAGCATGGAGTAGTAACTCAAGAGGACAAGGAATGAATGGAGCAGCCCCGCGCAGGCCTGCCTTCTGCGAAGCCCGGCCGGCACGACTCGACCACAACTGCAACTGCACCGCCCGTAGTCAGGAGCCAAGCTGCGCGCCACGCGCGGTAGGTCCAGCGGTAAGAGGAAAGCTAGATGAGGGGCCCTCTCGACCCTCCTCCTCCTCCTCCTCCTCCTCCTCCTCCTCCTCGTCCTCCTCATCATCCTCCTCCTCCTCCGCCTCCTCCGCCTCCTCATCCTCCTCCTCCACCTCATCCTCCTCCTTCTCGTCTCCTTATTATTCTTAGTACTAGTGTTAGTCTTCGTCTTCGTATAATTATGAATATTACTATTCGCATTCTTAGTCGCAATGTATGCGTATTCGTATGCCTGTTAGTATTAGTAATAGTAGTAGTAGTACTATTAGTCTTAGTAGTAGTATGATTCGTCGTCTTATCCGTCGTATTCTTAGTTTTCGTCGTAGTTGTCCTCGTAGTCTTCTTCGTGTGCATTTTAGTATTATTATTACGTGCAGTAATCGCCGTCGTATTATTCGTATCAGTTTTCGCCGTCTTCTTCTTAGTATTGGTATTATTGGTATTATTACGATTCGTACTCTTAGTATGCTTCTGTTTCTGCGTCGCATTATGATTAGTGGTATTATTCGTGTTCTTCTTAGTACTACTCGTATCATTATTATGCTTATTCCTCCTCCTCCTCCTCCGCCTCCTCCTCCTCATATTCCTCCTCCGCCTCCTCCTCCTCCTCCTCGTCTTCCTCCTCCGCCTCCTCCTCCTCATATTCCTCCTCCTCCTCCTCCTCCACTTCACCTCCACCTTCACCTCCTCCTCCTCCTTCTCCTCCTCCTCCTCCTCCCTCCTCCTCCTCCTCCTCCTCCTCCTCCTCCTCCTCCTCCTCCTCCGCCTCCCTCTCTCATCGGCAACCGCCTGCCGGCTGCATTTCCCACAGAACTGCCCCCCCAAAACAGCCTGGAGCTCGTCCTCCTGGCCCTCCGCCGGCCTCGCCGCGACGAGGCTGGGCGCGTCCAGCACCCAGAGCTGGGCGCGTCACCACGTCCGCGCCACCCGCCCCGCCGTACTTCACCATCGCCTCGTCCACGACGCCGTTGGAGTTGAACAGCATCGGGTCCACCATCGACAGTGGCGCGCCGCCCGAGAGCTGCGGCAGCGTCGCGCGGGCCAACTCGCAGTCATCCCGCACGCCCCAGGCCTGCAGGAACGCCAGGTCCGCTTGTTCTTCGAGGGTGCTCGCGCCAGCCTCCTGCGAGAAGCCCGCGCCACGCGACGTGAGCAGCAGCGCCCAGCTGCTGCGGTGGAGCTCCCGCAGGCGCCCTGCGGTCAGGAAGCCCTCCGCGACGCCACGGCGTACGTCTTGACGCCGTCGCCGAGGCCGCTCTCCGGGCCCGCGAGGTGCAAGGACAGGCTGCTCCAACCGAGCTCGCTCAGCGAGCCCCCGAGAACGCCCCACGCCACGCCTCCGCCCAACGCGCCAGACGCGGCCCGCAGGCGGATCATGCCGGCCTCGTCCACGGCCGCGGCAACGGCCGCGCAGCAGCCCGCCAGCACGCCCGCCGCAATTACCCTCGCCTCTGGGGGGGTCGCCGCGCCGTCGGTCCCGGGCCGCGGCGCGGGCGCCATGCCTCCTGGATCACTGGCGGCCCTGGCGACTGGGTCGGCCTCAGCCCTGGCCGCTTGTAGGGCCGCCTCGCCCAGGAACTCGCCCAGGCCCCCGTCGAGCGGGCTTCCAGCGCGCCCGGCGCTGCCGGCCAGGCTCGAGGTGAACCCGCGCGCAGGGCGGCATTTGGCCCGCACCGCGGCAGCCAGGAAGCGGCCGGCGCGGCTGGGATGCCAGGGGCGTCGCCCGGGGAGCACGGCCCCCCTCTCACCGACAGGCGACTGGCCAGGAAGATCGTGCGGGCGAGCTGGTAGACTTGAGCCAGAACTTGAGCCTTGAGCCCGCAGGGTCGAAGGCACAGGTCGACGATCGTCCGACGGCGAGGCGCCGCCGCGGCACCGCACCCTCCACGAAACGGGCCCCTTTCTTCTGCGCAGATGGAGGAGGACTGGAGATCGCCTCCTCTGCATGCTAACTACGCTTTGTCCAGAGTCGGCCCGTGTCGTTAAGGATGCGCGATAAGGATGTAAGGAGCTTGGACGCCCATTTCGAAGCTTTTCGAGGGGAGCGCGACCAACGAGAGTGGCCAAGGATGGACCGAGCAGGCAAGGATGCAAGAGTACCCTTGGGAAGGATGCCCATCCTTCTTGTGCGGGTTGACTGTATGCAGTCCTGGAGTCCCAGAACCTGCCTCCCAAGAAGCACACCATACAGGCGAAGCCCTTTCGCAGACATGCTTGGGGGGAAATCGAACAGGGCAGGGCTGCCTGGCAAACACCAGCTCGGGGGTCGGGTTTGTTTTCCTCCCGTGAGGTCCTGGTGTAGATCCTCTTCTGGGGGGCCAATGAGATGATTCACGAATGCCTGGGTGGCCCAAGATCGCCAGCCAGCGGTGCGTGAGCCGACATCAGGCGAAGAATAGCAGGCAACCCTCAGGGATGGGGGCCGGCGGGTGGTACTAGGTCGGGCGCGTCCTCGTACAGGCGGATTGAGGAGGAAAAAGTCTAACATAGACAAAAAAATGAAAACAACAAACTAGTCGAGCATTCGTCCCCTGACTATTGCTTGTTCTGCTGTTTTTGAGCATTCCTCCTGCAGAAGGGCACGCCCGACTAACGGGTGGCAACGACACGCTGCCACGACGACGACGACGACGACGACGACGACGACGACGACAATCTTCGAGAGCCTCGCCCCGCCCAAGGGGGGGGGGGGCGGAGCCCCCCCCCCTCTCGCGGCCACGCCACGGCCGCGCACGCATGCACGAGGGGCGCGCCCGAGGCGGGGCGCGCCCAGGGGAGGGGCCCGAGGAGCATGCTGGCAGGGGGCCGCATGCGAGCCCTACCCCTACACCCTGCGAAATGCTTAAGAAATCATGGGTTAAGAAATTCATAGTCTCAGAACTTGAACAAAAACCCAACAGTTCTATTCAGATCTTAGGATTTACATCGAAACATCAAGAACAATCGAGACTCTGGCCGAAAACTTAAGTTTTCTTAAGCATCGCCTGAGGTGTACCCCTACCCCCCACGACTCCTGGGGGGGGAGGGTGGGGTTCGCTTCGCTCGGGAGCTCCCGAGCGAAGCGAACCCCACCCCTCCCCCTCAGAAGTCGTTGGGGGGTAGGGGTAGGGCTCGCATGCGGCCCCCGAGGTGGGAGGCCCGGAGACGGGCACCAGCACCAGCACGGGGTGGTGCCTCCACGGGGGTCGGATTATCCCAGATGTTGGCGCTGCTGGTCATAATTCGGCCGCCTGGAGAACCCGGCCACCTAGAAAGCCCGAAGATGGCCACCATCACCGAGGTCGGGATCGTCGCCCCTCGGTGGAAGCACACCGTCGATGTTGGCGCTGGTGCCACTTCCCTGGGCCTGCGATGTGCTGCTCCCATCGTGCGTAGGGGCCACACCCCCGAAATCATCTCGAGCACCCAGGAGAAGCATCGAAACCGTGCCGAACGCGTCTCGCCTCCCGGGGCCCGCCACGCGAAAGCCCTCCAGTTTCGGTATGTTCCTGGTGCTCGAGGCTCTCTCCGGTGCTCACGGCTGCAGCATGTCGGAGCACCATCACCCGACGAGCCCCGAGCCCCGCCCGAGGCGGCGGCCACGTGCTGCAACGCAGGCAGGAGCGGGACACAGATAAAGGGGCCCCAGGACACACAAATAAATACACACAAATAAACATATTCCCCATAGTTTCCCATATGTTCTGGATTCGTGTCTTCCCCCCCATTTCCCATATTTTCCCATATTTTCCTGGGGATCGTCGAGTAATTGTGTCTGTGTGCTTCTTCCCTCCTGAACAGAGGAGGCCAGTCCCCAGGAAACCTTCCAAAAGAAACCCGACCCTGAGACCCCACGACGTCCATTGATCTCTGTTGGTGTGGAACCGTCGCGCTGCCCACAGCGAAACAATCGAAACCACAAAAAGCACAGGGCACCCTGGAGGCAGACAGGGTGTTTCTTGGCAGGGGCCTCCACTGTAAAGTCGGATCAGAAGACGGCGGATTTGTGCCGTGACAGCCCCGGTGTTGGTTTCTGACGCCGTGCGGATCGCTCCATCTGCAACGATCGGCGGCTTCCTCCGCTCACCAGCTGGCTTCACATGCCTGCCGACGCCTGACCGCCGGCGGCATTCAGCCTGGAACGCCTGCGGCGGGGTCCCTGCCGCGTCCGCACGCCGCGGACCCCCACCGCAAATCGGGACCCTCCGGGTTTCGGCCGTTCTGCGGGATGTCCTGGGCGCAGCGGCCCCTTCCCAGAAGGTTCCCTGCCGCTCCCAGTCTGGATATAAGATAACGTGACGCATGTAAAGATGGACGTGGCGACGCAAATGCTGATGCGAACGTGCTGTTGCTTACAACGCATTGGCGACGTGCCTAGATATTCCCGAAGGCCGACGAATTCCTGGAATCGTAAAAACTGTCTACGTTTTTCGTTCCAGGTCGGCAGTTTTTGAAAACCACTCCCTGGGCTAAAAACCTCGCTTCGGCCCTCACCAGAGCCGTATCACTCCCAGAGCCGCTCCTGTAGATCCGGAACGCTCTGGAGCGGGTCATCCCGGCTCTTCGGCGGTGGACAAACCTCCCTTCAGTGAACCTCCTCTTAGTGAAAAGCGCCCGGGACCGAAACCGACGAACCTGGACCCGCAAAAATGACGGCCGCGACGCCCCCTCGCGAACCGAAAACGGCCAATTCCTGAATCGACGTGTCAGGGTAGGAGGTCTGTCCACCCCCGACCCTCTCCTCCTCCTCCTCCTCCTCGTGGTCCTCCTCCTCCTCCTCGTGGTCCTCCTCCTCCTCCTCCTCCCCCTCCCCCCCCCCTCCCCCTCCTCCTCCTCCTCCTCCTCCTCCCTCCTCCTCCTCTCCTCCTCCTCCTCCTCCTCCTCCTCCTCCCTCCTCCTCCTCCTCCTCCTCTCCTCCTCCTCCTCCTCCTCCTCCTCCTCTCCTCCTCCTCCTCCTTCCTCCTTCCTCCTTCCTCCTTCCTCCTTCCTCCTTCTCCTCCTCCTTCCCTTCCTCCCTCCTTCCTCCTTCCTCCTCCTCCTCCTCCTCCTCCTCCCCCCGAGCTCTGGGCCCGCCTGGCGGATCTCCGACGAGGTGTTCTTTGCACCGCAGCGGTTCCCTCCGGGGCTGGGTGCCCGGGGCCGTGGCTCCTCCGAGGCTCTGGGCTGCGCGGCTCTCGCCCCGTGAGCTGTGCTCTGCAGGCTCCGTCCAGGGGGAGGAGGAGGAGGAGGGGGGAGGAGGAGGAGGAGGAGGAGGAGGAGGAGGGAGGAGGAGGAGGAGGAGGAGGAGGAGGAGGAGGAGGAGGAGGAGGAGGAGGAGGAGGAGGAGGAGGAGGAGGGGGAGGAGGAGGAGGAGGAGGAGGAGGAGGATGAGGAAGAGGAGGAGGAGGAGGAGGAGGAGGACGAAGAAGAGGAGGAGGAGGAGGAGGAGGAGGAGGAGGAGGAGGAGGAGATCCCGCTTTCTTTCATAGAAAACGAAAAAATCTGCATAGACATAAACTGTTGGCACTCCGAGCGGGACTTCCTGGATTGGCGCGGAACCCAACTCCCTGGCGCGCGGAGCGCGCCAGGGGCGGCGCCCGAGTCGCAGCCAGGGGGCTCCGAATCCAAGCAGTACGCGCGGAGCGTCGAATCTTTCTGCTTCTGCCGGTGTTTTCTCCTTCGGCTCCAGCGCTCGCTTGGGAGGCCTGGGCCCCGCCAGCTCGGCCAGAGCCACGGAAGCCAGCCGGGCGTCCGCAGGGCGCCGCGGCGGGCTCCTCGCCGGCGCGCGGGACGCGCGCGCGGGGAGGCGCGCGGGGCGACCCGAGCTGCGGGCCGGCCGGCAGGGCGAGGGCGCGGGGAGCAGTCGGCTTTGACCGAGGGGGATAGCTTAAAACGACGCGAAGATCAGGACAAAATCGGATCGGGATAACTCGAAATCTCTGAGAATCGGCGGGTTTGGAGGATGTATTGGGCGCCGCGGCCGCTCCAGAGCGTTCCGGAACGCTCTGAGAGCGCTGCAGAACGCTCTGGAGCGATTTATCCAGATCCTAGCCCTGTTTTAATAGCAAAGGGGGGGTTTGAGAATCAGCTCGCGTAGCTGATTTTCCCGGCGCCTCCCGGCGCCCGAGGCGGCCACGTATCGAGGAATGGGCCCCTCGGTGGGGCCGAAGCCAGCTGCTTGCAGCAGATTTCGTATAACCCCCCCTTTCCCAATCCCCCCCTTTCGCCCGGCCCGAGAGGACACAGGACTCTGCCCACGGCAACGGGGCCCCAGAGCACCAAAGGACATGCGGGCTGCAGAGGCCGGGGGTAGGCAGGACACCAGGATACCCTCGACGTGGCACGGTCCACCCATCAATCAAGGCCGACTGCATCCGCCCCTCCGAGTCAGATCGGCAGATCCGCGTGTCCCCCCTGTGGGGCCTCTGGGCATTGGCTTCATTGTTGATGCGCTGGTGTGGGAGATTCTGCGTCGTGTTTCCGAACTGCCTCGATGCCGCCGTCGTAGTCGGCCTCGTCGTCCTGAGTCGGTTGAGCGTCGGCAGCGTCAGGGCCATCTTGCTGGTTTTCGTCGGCATCGCATTTTTGTGAACCGCCGATCCACGACAGATGTCTACGCACGAATTCGTCATCATCAAAATAATCATCCGAAGTATCAGTAAGGTCCAGCAGCTCGTCGTCAGGAGCCTCTGCAAGTCCCCCCCTCCGACCCCCAAAACAGTCCCACCGCCAGCTCGGGAGGGTGCCCATATGGCAAAACGCAGCGGATCCACGCCCCCGGGGCCACGACTGCTGGTCCATTACGCGGGGCATGCGCTCCCGTGGCCACGATCCCTGACAAATTACGCACGCCTGGCCCGCGCTCGCAGGGCGACGAGCCCTGGTAAGTGACTCTGACGCCACGCTCCCGAAGCCACGACCCCTTGTAAATCACGCCGGATCAGCGCTCCCAATACCCATTGGTACGGCCCCTTGCAAATCACGCATGGTTCGCGCTACAAGGGCTACTGGTAAAACATCCTGGCTCCCCGCTCCCAGGACGAGAACCCCTTGTACTATTAACGTTGCAAACAGTTCGAAAGAAGTGGGTAGGAACAGTAAGTAGGAAGGCGTTGAAAGTAGTTTGGGTTTCCGCCCGCCCCCTGCAGAGGAAGAGACAGAGAAATTCATTCGACGCTTGGAATAGGAAGGCGCCCAAAGTAGATTGGAAACTGGGATTTCACAAATGCATACTTTCAACTACCGCTGGGTACCCGAAATGAGAACAGGTGGCCTCTGCGTGACCTGAGGGTCCGCAAGAGCTCTCCAGATTGTTCCAAGTGCGGCCCGAGGGCTCACGCAGGCTCCAACAGAGCATGAGGAGGGCCCAGACTTTGATCGATCTGGGAGGGTCCCGAATACGTTCCCTGGATCCCCAAGGGATCAGAGAGGCCTCACGAAGAAAAAAGAGGCCCCTTGGGCGCCCTGGAAGAGGACGAGCACAAAACGTAGGAGGAGGAGGACGACGACGACGAGGATGGCGGCGAAGGATCCCCCGATGTCTGGTGCAAAGGGGCAGGCGGCAGTGACCTAAGGTCTTCAGACATTGGAGAAACGCTTGCAATTCCTACTAACCTATGGGCGCCCGGGGAGCTCAAAAAGGTACACCTGCCACGCCCTCCACCTCCCCCGGGCCCCGCCCCCCTCCATCCCCCGTCCTCCTACTCCTCCACCCCCCGTCCTCCTACTCCTCCTGCTCCTCCTACTCTTTCCCTCTTCCTCCTCCTACTCCTCCTGCTCTTCCTCCTCCTCCTCCTCCTGACCTCCCACCCTCCACCTACTCCATCCCCCTCCCCCTCCTCCCCTCCCTCCCCCCCCCTCCTCACCCGGCCTCTCTGTCCACGCTGCTCCTCCTCCTCGCCCGCCCCTCCCGCCGAGTGCGCGTTCGCGCGGGAGCGCGCGCTGGCCCCGCTGTGTCGATGTCTGTGCCGATGTCGGTGTCAATGTCGGTGCCAGTGTCGGCGTCAGGGCCGCTGTCGGTGTCGGTGTCAGTGTCGGTGTAGATGCTGGTGCCAGTCTGTGTCTATGTCTGTGTCTGTTTCTGTGTCTGTGTCTGTGCCTGTCCCTGTGTGTCTGTGTCTGTGCCTGTGTCTCTGTCTGCGCCTGTGTCTGTGTCTGTGTCTGTGTCGTTGTGTATGCCTGTGGCTGCGTCTGTGTCTGTGTGTGCCTGTCCCTGTGTGTCTGTGTCTGTGTTTGTGTCTGTATCAGTGCCTGTGTCTGTGTCCGTTTTCGTGTCTGTGTCTGTGTCTGTGTTTGTGTCTGTGTCTGTGTCTGCGTTGGTGCCTGTGTCTGTGCCTGTGCCTGTGCCTGTGTCTGTGTCTCTGTCTGCGCCTGTGTCTGTGTCTGTGTCTGTGTCTGTGTCTGTTTCTGTCTCCGTGTCTGTGTCTGTGCGGGTGTCTGTGTCGGTGTCTGTGTCTGTGCCTGTGTCTGTGTCTGTGTCTGTGTCTGTGTGAGTGTCGGTGTCGGTGTCGGTATCGGTGTCCGTGTCGGTGTCTGTGTCGGTGTTTGTGTCCGTGTAAGTGTCTGTGTCTGTGTCTGTGTCTGTGTCTGTGTCTGTGTCTGTGCCTGTGTCTGTGTCTATGTCTGTCTGTATCTGTGTCTGTGTCTGTGTCTGTGTCTGTGTCTGTGTCTGTGTCTGTGTGAGTGTTGATGTCGATGTCTGTGTCTGTGTCTGTGTCCGTGTCGGTGCTTGTGTCTCTGTCTGTGTCTGCGCCTGTGTCTGTGTGTGCGTGCGCGCGTGTGTGTGGGTCTGTGTGGAGGGGGAGTGGATGGGGGTGCGGGTGTGGGTGTGGTTGTGGGTGTGGGTGTGAATGTGGGTGTGGGTGTGGGTGTGGGTGGGGGTGTGGGTGTCGGTGTGGGTGTCGGTGTGGGTGTCTGTGTCTGTGTCTGTACATACGTCTATGTCTGTGTCTGCGTCTGTGTCTGTGGCTGTGTCCGTGACCGTGTATGTGTCCGTGTCTGTGTCTGTGACTGTGCCTGTGTCTGTGTCTGTGTCTGTGTTTGTATATTTGGCTGTGTCTGATTATGCGTCTGTGTCTGTGTTTGTGTTTGTGTTTGTGTCCGTGTATGTGTCTGCGCCTGTGTCTGTGTTTATCGGAGGTTCGGGGGTGAGATCGCAGTGGAACGGAACCCCAAGGCCCGGAAATCGTTTCGTTCGTGTCGTGCGTGCAGGCGAGGCGAAGCTGCGTGGGCGCGCGAGAGGAATGAACCCGCCGTTGCTAGGGCGAAGTCAAGACAAATGTTGCTCCTCCGTCCGTCCGTCCGTCCGTCCGTCCGACGGTGGCCCTAGCGGTGTCCCGCGGTGTCCCGCGGTGTCCCGTGGTGTCCCGTGGTGTCCCGTGGTGTCCCGTGGTGTCCGCCGTTGCCAGGGCGAAGTCAGGACAAATGATTATCCGCCGTCCGGCGGTGGCTTGCGGTATCCAGCGGTGCCCCGTGGTGTCCCGTAGTGTCCCATGGTGTCCCTTTGAGTGAGATCGATAGTATGATCGATAACGAAGTCACTAGTGACATTGATTGTAAGATCGATCGTGAGATCGATGGTGAGATCGATACTGAGATCGGTGTGGTGCCTTGAGGTATCCCGTAGTGTCCCGTCGAATGAAATCGATAGTGTGATCGATAGTGAGATGATCAATAATGATATTGATAGTAAGATCGGTAGCGAAATCGATAGTGATATCGATAGTGAGATCCATACTGAGATCGATACTGAGATCGATGCGGTGCCCTGAAGTGTCCCGTGGTGTCCCGTCGTGTCACGTTGAGTGAGATCGATAGGGAGATCGACACTCGCCATCGCTCGGACGTCCATTCCTCGTGTATGTTTCGATTTCGCGCGTGCTTTTTTCGCTAAGTCATCCAGGATGCTCCCCCATGGTCCTCGCCGAAGAAAAAATGCACACGTCCGAGCGATGCCAAAGACGGGTGTCCCGTGGTGTCCCGTGGTGTCCCGTTGAGTGAGATCGATAGTGAGATCGATAGCGAAATCGATAGTGAGATCGATGTGGTGTCCCGAGGTGTCCCGTGGTGTCCCAAAAAGTGAGACCGATAATGAGATCGAAAGTAAGACCGACAAGTGTCCCGTAGTGTCCCGTGGTGTCGCGTTGAGTGCGATCGATAGTGATACCGATAGTGGGATCGAGAAAAAACCCGCGGTGTCCCGTGGTGTCCCGTGGTGTCCCGTGAAGTGAGATCGATAATGAGGTCGATAGTGAGATCGACAAGTGTCCCGTGGTGTCCCGTTGAGTGGGATCGACAGCGAGATCGATTGAGTCAGATGTTGGTTCCCCCCCTCTCCCCTCCCCACAACCTCCTTATCATCCGAAGGGTTGCCTTATAGATATCTAGTGGATATGCCTGTGTTTGTGTCTGTGTCTGTGTCGGTGCCTGTGTCTGTCTCTCTGTCTATGTCTGTGCATGTGCCTGTGTCTGTGCCTGTGTCTGTGTCTGTTTCTGTGCCTGTGCCTGTGTTTGTGTCCGTGTCTGTATCCGTCGTCGTTTGTGTGTTTGTGTCTATGTTGGCGTCTGTGTCTGTGTCTGTGTCGGTATCGGTGTCGGTGTGCCCGTCGGTGTCTGCGTCTGCGTCTGCGTCTGTGCCTTTGCTGTGCCTGTGTCTGTGTCTGTGTCTGTGTCCTTGTCCGTGTCTGTGTTTGTGTGTGTGTGTCTGTGTCCGTGTCTGTGCCTGTGTCTGTGTCTATGTATCTGTCTGTTTCTGTGTCTGTGCCTGCGTGCGTGC